TGTGCACCTTTATGGCAAAAAATATAATATTGAACCTATGTTACCCTAAGAACCTACCAACTACTGGACTCAAGAAGCCCAAAATTTTTACACAGATCATGTAAGATCACGCTAGCATATAAATGCTGTAAATTTTATATAACCAAGAAATATTGGCAATCCTGGCAGCTAAGGAAAAGCTCCCAGATTAGCCTGTTAATGTCTACTATACATTGCTCTTGCATCAAAATGGTTGATGTACCTGCAGGAACTTAGGACACAAGGGCCAAAATGGCAAATTCGTTTCCAAGAGTCAGGTTTGGAAAGATCAGCTAAGTGTTGGCCAGGATTTACTGCTGAAGCACTTCAGCACCAGCCCTAGGCATGTATCCTGATCAGGAAGATCCCAACAAAGAGCTCAGAGTCAGAAACTTAATCAGTTTTTGCATCAGGTTCTCACAGGCTCACATATGAAGAATGTACCCTGAATAAGAGCTCATACTAATCTTGTATTCAGCGCATGCCTTCAGGAGATACAAAGACAATTCCACAAACTGCCTTTGTCGTTAATTATAAATTAGTTTTCGGATCTGCATCAAGTAAGATCCACACATTGTCTCACTGTGTGCCCTACTTTACCCTAAAGAATTTGCTGTTAATTAAATTATTAATACTATAATAAAATATTAATATTAATAATTATACTAGACTAGTATATTAATAATATAATTAAATTATGCGATCAGAGTTAGTTAAATGTGCAAGCATTTTTACACAGAGTAACTTTTACATCATGCTATCAAAGGGAAACACGACAAATACTTCATTGGTCAAAGTTCACATTAGCAAAGATATTTCCCAATAACATGACAAGAGTAACAAAGAATATTCTGAATAAACCAGAGTCAAAATCTCTCAGCACTCCGATACACGGAGAAAGCCTTAGGAATCGGAAGCTAAAATTCACCTGTAGTTGCAATTACAATAAGTCAAACTCTGAGAAGGGTATACATTCTGCTGTGAACAGCCATCCTTACGTGGGGTAGAAAGTCTGCAGCCAAAGAAACTCATTACCTAAATCAATGTGAAAGTACACCAGTGAGTTATTTGACATCTGACCATAAGAGGTATTTCGGTTTCTTCCCGTACTGCTGGAATTCACACCGCGCTGAGGCTGTCTAAATTTCTCAAATGCTATTTTCTTTGTACACATTTTCTGTTCTGAACGCTGTATTGCAGGGCCCTCTGGCTGAGAAGTATAGAAGTAGACAGGCTTCCCTTCAGAGCACATCAAGATCACTCCTTAATTAGCTGGTGGACGCAATTTGATTTGAGAGACACAAAGTACTGGCTCTTTTTCAGGAACTGAATGCCTTGTTTCTTGTCATTCTAACTCAAGAGAGCAGCCCCTGGTCCCGGACCTGGCAAGGATCAGTTTTACAGCTAAGGCACACGCCTGCGTGTAGACACATCCTCTTAAATGAAATCTCCTTGAAATGGTGCTGGCTGTTTCAGAAGGACTCAGGACACACTTGGGAAACAACGTGAGCCAACCAGCCAGAGGCACAGCCTTACAGTCACAGTAACTTGAATCTTGGAAGATTCCCGAAGAGATTTGGAAAAAAAATAACTCTTTTTTTTCTCTTGTTAGTCTTGTCCAGTACATTCAGGTACTGTTATTCTGGATATTTTCTTTCTCTTGCCTATTGACACCTACAAAAAATTATCTGTTGAATATATGAGATATTTAAAGCTCAGGTCTAGCTGAGTTTTCTCATGCAATTTTTTGTTTTCAGCATGTTTTAAAAAAATAAAAATACCAGAAGCCTTAATTTAGTCAAGTGATATTTTTTTGGGGGGGTCCACTTTTGAATCTGTTTGAGTTTAGGGTTGATGTTAATTCTCCCCAACATTCAGTTGTTTATTCCACAGCAAGTCAGGCTGCCAGAGCTGCCAGCAGATGACTGAATTCTCCCGTTGAGCGCGTTGCCGGAGTGAAACACGAGGCCAGGCTGCCCTCTGCGGGCTACCAGCTAGCACTGGGCTTGGCTCATGGAAACTGCTTAATGCCAGGACAAGATTTTTACACCAGAACACGGAATTTTGACGTACGCTGTACTGTGTAATGCCAAATGTAACAATTGGCTTTCTGCTGCCTGGTTGTTCCTGCTGGAGAGGGAGAAGGAAGCGCAGACTGCACAGGTCTGATTACAGCAAACACCCCAGGAACAAATACCAGCTTGGTGTGACTCCACTTGGGAAATCCCAGGAGACTGGGGATAACAGCTTCTGAACATTAAATCAGAGAAACCGAATGAATGGAAACACTTCACCCAGCACACAAGCTGCCAGGCAGGAGTCGAGGACAGTGCATTTCAGCATCACCCCAAGATCTAACCCAGGACAGTTCCATCACATCAGGCCTCTCGCAAACGCAGACCTGCTTACGTCAGCATTTCACAACAGGAGGGCTGAATGTCAAACTAGTCCAAAGCAGCCTCAGGCAAAGGAACAGGGATGAAGAAGAGAAACATTTCTGGATGACCCCGGGTCTACTGCAGACTTCATATGCTTTGCTTGTTGTCAGTAGTGCCTCCAGCTCAGTTCCTTAAAGGCTTCATCCGAGTGCAGACGCTCATTCCTACAGGGCTGATGATCAAAAAGAATTACAAAGGATCAAACTGTACATACTTTTTCTGGAAATGCAGTTTGGCTCAAAGGATAGCTTCTGAGCATGAAACTCTCTGAAAGTGTTCAGATGGCTCCCTCTACCCTCACCCATAGGTAAAATAATGCAATGATGATGTACACAGTCAATCTCACCTCTTTGGGAACCACACAAGAATTCAGTTAATTGTCAAGAAGGGCACACTTTTAAATACAAGACCCTTCCTAAATCCATTGGGGTTTAGTTGTTGCAAAGATGCAAATATCACGTGGGATGTGATAGCCACAGGGGTAAGTCACTGTCTTCATAAAGTCAACCAGTCCTGTAGCTTCAAATAACATCATTTGAGAACCAAGTGGACAAGTGAACTTCTAAGATGATGGGCTGTCGTCTAGCAAAGCTTTCACAAGCCAAGTAACACACAGCAGTTAAGCCCAGAGATAACATCACCAGTTGTTATACTAATTCATTCTACACAGCATACATACAGTTACTTTTTTCCCCAAAAAACAGCTATAAGGGAGTCTCTGAACCTTGCTGCTTTGTGTCCTACAGATGATCTACATCCCACATCTGTGTCCTACAGGTCATCTGTGCCCTCTGCTGGTGTGAGCAAGTTCCTGCCAAGAAGCCATGAACAGACCTCAGGAGATACTGGCCACTTTCCTGATGGAACACAAAACTGAAGAACATCACTGGACTTTTGTCATGTAACTCTATGGACAGTGAACACTGGAGAGCGTTGTGACACTAGTATTTGGGCCACTCTAGATAATTGTGCTATCAATAACTTAAAATTAATCATGAAGCCACCACTGAGTACCCTGCGCCATAAACATTTCAGACACTTGCTTCAAAATTAAGACATTTTACAATGCGAAAATCTAATATCAGACTCCATGAAAGATTTCAATTAAGCCTCAGGACAAAGATATATGAATTGAAACTCTGACAGAAACCTACTTTTAAGTGTGGACTAATGCAAAAGAGAGATCTGCATGTTCTATACTTGCATAGTAGTAGTATGCCTGAAATATTTTGCATAATACATATTGACTATCAAGATCAGCTTTTGCTTATGATTAAACAGATTATCTGATGACATTTTAGGGATTAACAGATTATAGCCCTAAATCCAAAGATGTAAATAACAATGAAATCTTATTATGCATTAGAAAACAAACAATGCAGTCAGAGCTGATCTGAAAATTACTCAGCAATCTCTTAGTAGGGTCAAGACTGAGCGCCTAAATTCTCCGCAGAAATACATGCAGATTCTGGTTGCTAGACTTCCCTGTCTGCAAGTACATAGACAAATGATTGAGGGAACCAATTTACAGTAGCTGGACTGCTCAATTATTTTTTTTTCCAATCTTTTGGGGCAAAATCCAGTTTTATGGCTATTTGTACCACATTCAGTCTCTTGCAGTCATTACAATTGTAATAGAGCATAAACCCAGAAGTTTATCCCTGATCTCTTTGCTTCAGCTTCCACTACCACAAGAACAAATAAACTGGTGGTCCTGCTAACCTGCAGATTTCACTGAAAATGACTAAGCTCTGACTGATCATATTCCAGAGTATTTTATCTGGTTTCAAGAATTTAGGTTAATAATAATTACATAGATTTAATATATATACAAATATATTCATACATTTATATGTACTTATAAATATGCAATGATTATGTATAATTGTATATATTATTGTATAATTATACATGATTGTATATATTATTGCAGACACCCTATGGCAGAGCATTCATATATTTACTTATAGAGGAAAGCTTGGATTATAACGCTTCCAGTGGAATAGAAACATTTGAGGAAAACATGATGTGTTTGGAAACTAAGTATCTCATTTCACTGATAAAATACACTTCTGACCTCCTAGTGGTCTCCTTTATAACCCATTAACTAAGCTAAAGCAGGGTAGTACAGACAGTGTAACTGAAGTACAAGCATAATAAATAGCCTAAGAGATAACCAAGTGGTCCATCCAGCCCAGTATTGCGTCTTCCACAGTAGCAATGAGTGATGGTGTAAAAAGACTTGCAGATGTGACCAGTAAGTAACTGGACAATAGGTTAATGACTAGGAAGTTTATAACCCATCAGAAGACAAATTAATGTCTCTACAGAAGGAGCAGACGTGCAGATGTGGAGCAGGGTGCACAGACCAGGAAATGCCTGAAACGGGATTTAAAGAAATACTGCATGAGCAGATTATATGGTGCTACAGCAAATCAGCAAGGAGGGGGGTGTTGCACACAGCTGAGGGCACAGAAAGCCAGAAAATTCATGATGGAAAGTGACAGCCAACAAAAGCATGCATGGTACTACATATATGGGAGAAGCATAGTTTTGACTCCAGCCCACTGTACGCTCTTTGGTATCCAGTGCACAGAATGCTTGCATTCTATAAAAAAGCCCAGAATCAGAAAGGTCTGAAGATGATTTGAAATATTTCTATAGCCCTCCTCAAAAGCAGAGATCATGCTGAGCCACTAACACTTCATTCTTTATTTCATCCAAGTAGTCACTGAAAACATAGATGTCAATCTGGTTATTACAAACACAATAAATTCCTGTGCAGAATATAAACAGGTATTACGCATAGCTCTACTGGCATGTTTTCATCCTGGGGTACAAAAAGTACCTTTCAAATCCTCAACCTCTCTGAAGCAAAAGTCCAGAATGCAGGAAGTTCTTCTGTAATGCAGACAAATACATCCATTAGAGACTGGCCTGGTGCCATCAATCCAAACAGAAAGATTTTCAGATAGAAAGGCTAGCACATTATCTCACTGTCTCACTCCATTTAAATTGATTTAATCTAGACAATTTCATTAATTTGTCAGAAGGAGAAAAGTTCCCAAAAGCTCAATCAATTAAAATAGCCTCGCTTTCAAGCTGTGGCAACTAACATTCAAGCAAAACACTAACTCATTGCATGTGCCACCACAAAAAAAAAAGAACTACCTTGCCAAAGAAAACCCCAAAGCAGCAAAACTCTGTTCTTAAGAACATTAAGATAGGTAATAATCCTTGTGCTTATATCAGTGGAAACAACATCAAGCATGAGCAGGTGAAGATGTACTGTTGCATACGACATGGCATCGGTAGCCTGTCCGTAACCACGTCACCTCCAATTGAATCATCTCCAATGAGAACAAGAAGTATCCAAACAGAATGTAACCTCAGCCGAGTTCTTTTGCACTGACACTGGTGAAATAATTTTTTCATTAGTTTCCAGTGATTTGCATTACTATTGGTCTGCCAGTATTTATCTAATATTCCCAGCAGGAAGAAATACCTCCATATACTTGACAGATTTAAGATTACTTTAAAAGAGCATAAAACCCCCGTATATACAATTTGCAAAAGGTATAAGCACCACAGACTGGATTCTCCAGTGTGGCTACAAACTCTAGTTCAATATATTGGTAAGTAAATGCAGGGTTATTTCCAGAGACTCAATTTGTTTAATAAGCGTAGGGATAATTATATAATTGCAATATTTTCTTTGTTGCCCTTACTGCAAGGCATTTCATCTTGAGAAGCCCTAATAAGTCACTTTTACAACCAAAACTTGAATTCCAACCACAATGAAATGCTCTCTTTAAAAAAAAAATGGGTTTATAGACATCAGGCACTCTTAGAATAATAAGAGGCCCTCAAGCATTAGAAAAGCTTTACCTCACCATCTGTGAAGAGGTGACTTATGATTTCATAAATTGTGAAGTACGCTTAGCAATACTCTCACTGTTATAAAACTGTCTCCTTTTATATCTTCATTATATCTTACTGTTTCGTTATTCATTCTGCTGCTCAGAGATGGAAAGGCCCAGGCACACCCAAAAGACATTTTTGCAAAACCAAATGGTTTGCAAAGAGCATTTTAAATTACCACGTTCTTAGGCACCTTAATCAAGCACGTGTGCCTTAAATCCACATTTTCTTCAGAAAAGATGCAGGCTCCAAAACAGTATCTCTGGTGAGAGAATGGAAATGTCCCCATTAACATGGTAAACACCCTCCCATTGATGGGAGAAAAGCTGTACCGCCCTCAGCCCTCCTGCTGACAACAGGTTTGCCTGCAAACCTACAACTTGTCATTTGTTTTTTTTTTTTTAGTTAAAGCAACCCAAACCTTCAATACAAACCATGTAAGCATAGGCTGAATGTAGCTGCTGAGCTGTACTTATAGTATAAAAATATTATATAAATAAATATAAATATTTACATATTTAAAATATACATAAATAGTAATAATAATCTGGGTGTTGTGCAAAACTATAGCAGATACCACTTAAATTCGTCTGAAGAAGGATTTGCCTCCTAGAGCACACTTAAAAAGTCTAATAGAACCATTTCTGTTAAACCATAGAAGACAGGCACCTTCCAAATGCAGAATCCATCCCATTAATAATTACCTGAATGCAGAGATGGTACATATATTTCATCATAGGACTACCCACATAGAAAATTTACATTTCCTAAGAACATCTATAGAGTATAACTTGACGAACCCACAATAAGTGTTTTTTTTTAAAAAAAAAAACCCAACACAATTATCAAGTAACATAGATTTGAAAGGTATGTCTGGATTTTGAGAAGGAAATAGCTAGGTCTGCTCCTTAGCAACTTCAGCTAAGGTATCCACATACAACTAGCACTTATTTCCACACCGTACTTGGACTCTTTCTTTCTATGCAGCAAAGCATAGAGGTAGTAACAAGTCAGTACAGCAGAATCATTATTAAGACTTAATCACAGGATCAACATAGTCAGACTTCCCAGATTACACAATTTTAAAAAAAGCAGTTAAATAGTAGTTCTGTCCTGTCTTTTGATTCATCTCTCTGCTTGCTCCTAGCATATAAGGAAGCTGGTGTTTGTTGATCTCCAAAAACTAATGAGAAAGTTTTTCTTCATTTAGTACTATGGGTTCTCTTCTCTTTTCCACACTGGTCTGTCATCATCCCAACTTTTCATTCTGCTCTCCCAGTGCCGAATCAACCCTGTTCCCCTACTTCCATTTGCCCAGCACCCAAACAGTACCCCATGAATTCTAGCTGTTCCCAAAACATCACACCACCCACCAGCTACATCTATAACCTCTGCTCACCCCACCTCACCTCTGCTTTTCCTGCGCCATGGGAAGATGGCAGGGGTGATCTTTTTCTCAGAAGTATTTGACTTGGAGGTGAAGTAAAGCCCCCTTTATCTCCTCTCCTGTGGTTCTTTCAAAGCCCTGGGGGAAGGAAACAGCAATGAAACGGGTAAAAATGGTGCAAGTCCCAGAAGAACCATGGTCAGCCATGACCACCCCACCAGCCTCTTGCCCAGCAGCAGCAAGATGTCACTGACTTTCTGAGCTTTTCACCCTTACGCTGCTTCATGGCAGGCTGGGCATTTCAATGTCTCCCTGGCAGGGAGGGAGGACCTGGCAGTCCCTGTCCCAGCAGACAGACAGACAGACGGGCCTTTGGTCACCCCCACCAGGGCTGCTCCTGTGTGCCCGGGTGGAGGCGGTGGCCTCCTCACCAAGCAGAGCAGCATGTGTAGACCCACAGACCTTTTGTGGGAGCCCGGTGGCAGCCCTCTGGGCACGGAGACAGGGGTGGCGGTGGGCGCCCCTTCCCCTTCAGCCCTCCTGCCCGGGGGCTGTCCGTGGAGCCGGGGGGGGCCCGAGACACCCCAAACTCTCCGCCCGCTCCCGGCCCCGGCTGTGTCCCATACTGCCCGCACCCCGGGGGCCGGCACAGGCGGCCCACAACGCCAAGGGCACGGCTAGGCGGCAGGACGGCGCTCCCCGCTGCCCAAGCCCACGGGCCCCGGGCCAGGCCGGCCCTGAGGGAGCGGGCCGGGGCTGGGCTGGGCCGG